TGCAGTTCCCTGAAGGCTGGTTCTTATAAGTCTTAGGATATTACTTTTCAAAATAATTCCCTGTATGTCCATTAAGCTCTAATTCTTATATTAGATAGGTTCACCGATGTTCAATTTATATTGTGCTTCATAAATCACACATGCTACAGTAAATATTTGTGTGCACCAAATATTATGTCATCTAAACAATTCTTTCACAGGCAAACATACCATAATATAAATACAATAAAAATAATTCTATTTATATCATGATAAATATACTTATTTTGACTGAAGGCTGAAGTTAACTAAAATAGTTGAAAGAGCCTTGGGTAAACCTTTGCTGTCTTGTAAACCAGCCCTGGCACAAGTCTGGCAGCACAAAGAAGTCCAAAGCAGTGAGGTTATTTCAGTCACAGGCAGCCTCAGCAGCTTCAGTGGCTGAGTCAGATGACCTTTTCTGACAGCACGTGCATGCCAGGCTGCTTGCAGGAGACAAAGCATCAACAGTCTCCTGAGTGAAGCACTCTCATCCCTCCCCCTAGGTTTTCTATTATAGGCTCCTTCAAAAAAAAAAAAAAAAAAAAAAAAAGTAGAAATAGGCCACTTGTAGAGAAACTTAGATGGTAGGTTATATACACAGAAGACTAGCAGAGGGGCTCATAGGGAGTTGAGAGCTTAACACAATAACAGGATTCCTCCTGAGAAATGGCCAAATTAGTGCCCTTTGGAATACTCAAGAGTCCTTGCTACTCCTTGTCACACACATGGAAGGCAACACCCAAGAGTCATTCCCTGGCAAGTTTTGCACTTAAACTCGTAAAGTTTATCAGGGAAGACTTCACCCACTCACTCAAAGAGAGGAAGGTCCAGAAATAACACTGTCTGGACTGAAAAGAGAAACATTTCTCTGGCAAGTATAGCAATATGTGCAGCCATGTGGACTGTTTTTCCCCAAGTAGCTACCCAGGTCCATAAGAGGGGCAGGAAGACACAGCCAGCATCAACTGTGTCACAACTTTGTGGGGAAGCATGCAAATGGCTGCACATTTTAAGAAATATATGTAATGTTTACATTGGTTTTGTTAAAAGCATATGTAAGTGATCACCTCTATGGTTTTATACAACTTGTAAGTTTGTCTAGAAAAGTGGTCCCCAACTTTTTTGGCACCAGGGACTGGTTTTGTGGAAGACACTTTTTCCACAGATAGGGGTTGGGTGGGGGAATGGTTTCAGGGTGAAACCGTTCCACCTCAGATCATCAGGCGTTAGATTCTCAAAAGGAGCGAGCCACCTAGATCCCTCACATGCACAGTTCATAACAGGGTTCCCGCTCCTGTGAGAATCTGATGCCAGGGCTGATTTAACAGGAGGCAGAATTTAGGCAGTAACACTCACTCACACACCACTCATCTCCTACTATATAGCCCAGTTTCTAACAGACCATGGATCACTACTGGTCCATGGCCAAAGGGTTGGGGACCCTTGATCTAGAGCACATCTAAAAACAAACTTTGCCAAAAAGGACTAGTTTCCCTTTTGCAGAATTGAGAAATAAATAACATCAAGGACAAATTTGATTTTCTTTTAAATTTATGATAAACATACTCATTTACTTCTTGATGTAAAACATTTGCTGTAAATTGTATAATTAAAAAATTATAAACAAAAAGGCAAGAGGTTATGTTTCTTTTCCACCCTGCTTCTAAATCCAAAACAAATTTAAGATGCCTAAGGGAATCATCGTTAGTACTTTAAATACTTATAGTTCTTTCCTCCTTAAAACGAAAATCAAAATTCAAAACACCAGGGAGAAGAAAGGTTGAAAAGGCGCAGCATTGTGGAGTGGGAAGATGCTGGCATGGAGCTTTAGGAAACAAGCTCTAATCCAGATTCTACAACTCAAAAGAAACAAGATGATCTAAGAGTTCTCTATTAAAAAGAAAAAGATGCCTCTGACTATGTTATATAGGGTGTAGTCACACTGTTATAGCTCCCACTGGTTAAGATACTATAGTTCTAGAACAGACATTCAATCACCACGTTTAGAGAAATATGTAAAAAGCATAAAGGTCAAAGAGGCTAGACAGTAGAATGAAAACAGTCCAAGGGAAACACTGAATGAGTGCATGGGCCACTGAACACAGGATGATGCCTTTCTCAAAGACATCTCTAAGGTAGATGGTAATAGAAGAGAAAAAAAAGACTACAATGGAAATAATTGTCAAGGAAGGTTTGGGATAGAAAATAAGTTGGACAGAAAATCTCCTTATTTGCTTGTCTCTGATAGTTAGCATTGGAATGGACTGCCTCTGGAGATTCAATAACTGCTAAGAATTTCAAACACCCATTGATAGATAAGATGGATGCATTACATAACATAATGGAAAAGAACAGACACCCTGGAATCAGTTTCTCTGTGGGTCTATCCTGGTTCCATTTAAGCTGTGTGACATCAGGTATTCACCTTAACCTCTCTATGCCTTAAAGTCATCACCTCTAAAATAAAGATAATTATTATCCTACTTCATAGTACTATCGTGATAATTTAAAATAATGAACATAAGGAATACAGCAGTGACTGACACATCATAAATGCTTGATTAATACTAGCTATCATTATTAGCATTTTGCATGCAGAAGAATATGCAGTTAACAATCTCTGAAGATTCCTCTTAAATGCTGTACTTCAGAGACCAGCTCATAATCATCAATTGCACTATGACCCCCATAAAAGAAAGAAAGATAGAGCTTGAAAAGTCATAGAACCCTAGAGGCAGGTGCAGGTAATGCAGTGCATAGGGCATAGCACAGAACAGGGGGCTGGAGGTCCACGGAACTCAATGGACTCGAAATACAAGTCACAAAGCCAAAATGGAGTTTCATATCAGAAAATGCCCAATATAGGCACTAACCCCAATTCCAAATTATTTTCCACGTTTGTGAGCACAATTCTTACAATTCAGTCTATGGTCAGGTTTCTACTATGTATACTATATGTTTCTACTATGAACAGGTGTCCAGGCTAGGCTTACAAGAATTCTATAGTCCAAAGAGCTGTTTTGCTTATGTTCCTGAACTAGGATAACAGATTTCTTCTTGAGCCTTCTAATCCTGTTTTGTTCAATAAAACTTCCTGTGATGATAATGTTTATTTGTACTGATCAGTATAGTAATCACTAGTCACATGTAGCTTTGCTTGATATGGGACTAGTATAAATGTAAATTCAATTTCTCAGTCTTTTTTTTTTTTGAGACAGGGTATCACTCTATTGCCCAGGCTGGATCACAGTGACACAGTGGATGTCACTGCAGCCTTGACCTCCTGGACTCAGGTGATCCTCACATCTCAGCCCCCAGGTAGCTGGGACGTCAGGCACATGCCACCACATCTGGCTAATTTTTTTTTTTTTTTTGTAGAGACAGTGTTTCACCATGTTGTACAGGCTGATCTCAAATAACTGGCTCAAGCAATCTACCTGCCTCAGCCTTCCAAAGTGCTGGGATAACAGGCCTGAGCCACCATGTAATAATTTTAATTTAATGTGGCTAGTGGCTACCATACTGGAAAGTAGAGAATTTTAGAAGTGGTTGCCCACAGCACTGCATTGAAAGAGACCCTAATGTATGTCTGGGCCTACCAGAAAAACATTCTGTGATCCATCAGAGATGTCTGTTCCGGGACACAGAAGGGCAGTCTTTATTACATGTGCAGGTTCAGTTAAAGGATTTTCTCTCCTTAGGCCAAAAGAGAGCCTCTCTTTCCTAATACCTACAATGAGTCTTCAACACAAGGTTACTTTCTGCTCTTGTAAGAAATGAGATGAACTGAAAAGAGCCAGATTGTAATAGGAAAAAGTTTTAAAGAGAACTTCACCCAAGATAATGCATAATGCCCCTCTGTACTGTGGGAAGAAATACTGGTTTCTGACAGTTTTGCAGAAATACACGAAGTCAATGGGGTGTAAAACTATTATTTTAAGCTACACTGTAGGCCGTTTCTCAGTAATGCCGTTTCTCAGTTGTGTGCCATGGACAGGTAATTAAGATGGATAAATAAATTAAAGACAGATTACGCAGAAAGTATAAGCCACATTATCCATTTTAAATGTAGAAAATATACTAAATGTAGTAAAGCCATTCCAATAAAACCACCATGCCTCAGTTGAAAGTAACATATACCTCAGCACTTTAAAATAGCATACTTCATTTTCCAGGAAAGGTACAGAACTCTAACATGTGATTCTTTCAAAATACACTGTGCTGCCTTCATGAAACAGTATGGTGGCCTTGTATAAATGAATCAAAAGACACCACATACAACACCTGCCATCATGAGAAAAATCAGGAACCTATGTATTTCAATTCCAGATCCCAACAGAGATAAAGTCCTCCCAAGGAAAAACTACCTCAAACTCCCACAAAAATTCGGTCCTAGGTGATCCTCAAAGCCTCAAGTTGAGAATCATTTGAAGTCTTCTTTTAGGTTCAATATGTTACAAGCAAAATGGAAAGGTTTTGGTATAAGCACCTGTTTCTGTCCCAGATCCCTAAGCCTGGGAGGGCTGCAGAATTCCAAAAGGTCAGTGCCTGAATTTGCTCTGAATGGAACCACATCAAAGTAGTTATTTGTGTAACCCTCTTCCCTTAAAGAAGTCACAAAATCTATCACAGTAAGATCACGAACTTCTTCTGACACAGTTACTATTTTCCTGAGATTCTACATACATAAATTCATCTTGGAATTTCACTCAAGGAGATCTATTTCATTTAAGGATCAAAGGACTTTTATAAGCTGGTCCCATTGCTTGATTCACAAAGAGAGCAGCCTTGCTAACAAGAAAGCTGAAGTTACAGCAAAATTTTAACTATTATATATTTAGATGGCATGGTTCCATCTCCAAAACAAAAAATACTGTCATTATTATCCAGAAAACAAACGAACTGTGGTACTTTTTCTTGAACTAATACTAACGTCAAGTTAAATAATTAACACCAAGAATTCAAAAATAACCTCTTACCTCTACCACAGTGGTTTCTGCAGCTTTGCACATTGGCAAGTTGAAATTCCTTGCACTTTTCCTACATCGGGGTGGGGGAGATAAGAAAGCGGGGGAAAAAGACCAAAAATAAGTATCTCTGTCAGTTTTAAGATTTTATAGATTAGGATTTCTATGAACTAAAAATCTAAGAATCTTTCCAAAATGAGTTTATCATATTTTCCATTAATAAAGTTTCATAAATAGCTCATAAATTTTAAAAAATCATAACTATTTTATTTAATGTATATAGTTTTGAACTGGCTTGAGAGAAAGAGAAACTATTTTTCATGTTCAACATATGCACAAAAAGGATATTAATAAATATATCTTATTTGAAGTTAATTTCCTTAATCTTTTAACAAGTATGCTTTGTCCCTATTAGTTAAATATTTCATTCAATAACTTGCTCTCATTAAAACATTAAGAAAGGAAAAGTAGCAAATGCTTCACATGAGAAGGTATAGTAATTACATTCTCTATTGAAGAGAAGAAGCCTATTGCTGAAACTAAATGAAACATTCGTTGGTAATTTGTGAGTCACCTATAAAGATCATTCTGGAGAATCATTTTCTGATGAAGTTTTTGAAAGTACAACACCCACATCAGACCCTGAGGTGTAAAAATTTCTAAGATGCGCCAATTTTGCTGACGGTTTTGCACTCTGATGTTCCTCAATAACAGTAAAAGTTAAAATATATTTTTTGTCTCTGGGAATATAGGTTGCCAGCAGAATTTCTTTGGTAGAGGAAGCAAGTCACAGCTATATTTTACTAGCTCTTTGGGGCCACCAGTATTTCTTTTGCTCAGATTGAAGGATGCATACAGGAATAGGAGCATCCTTGAGAAGGGAGTACGTGTGAACTTTCACAGGTTGCTGGGTTAGATCCCACCAGACATCCAGGCATCAAAAGCTCCAAGGGCAGAATGGTCAGAGGCAAAAAACGTCCCAAGTCCCCCACTTGAATAACCTAGACAGACCTCTCTTCCAGCTGTCCCACTAAATGTGAAGTCAGTCCCAAGGTCACTTGACCATTGGTGATGCAAGCTTTCATTTCACACCAGAACTCCTAAACCACCAGCATAAAATCGGTGCCTAGAATAGCCCTTGTGCAGCCTTTATATACCAGAATCAGGCACTACAGCACAGAATAAACGTAGGAATATTTTCCATAATTCATTTCTGCTTACTAATATACAATTTTGTTAATCTTTTTAAAAAAGCAACTAAGCATTTGTAAATAATACACAAATGTGTCAAATAAAGATAATGTAAAATGTCTTCTGTTATTGCCAAAATTAGCTGTATGTTAAAAAACTGCCTAAATCAAAGAAATCAAAGAGCATTAATATCACATAACTTCTTCAGAAATAAAAAGCAATATGAGGGTATCACTGAGAACTTAATTGTGATTGCACCAAAGCTGCATTTGCTAAAGATTAAAAAGTTGTTAATCGAAAGCAGCAAATGATAATATGAGGAAAAACAATGATTTCTGTAATCATTATAATAGGTAAAGTCTTCAAGATTAAACATTTTGGAAAACTCTTAAGTGTATACTCAAGGGTTTCATAATCCTCAAAAAACTATATAAATCTGTAAGTCCAAGATTAGTATGCTTAGAATAACCAAAAGATTTTAAAATCTATCAGGTCTGTGGCTAACCAGAGAATGAGGATTTAAAGTTCAGTATTATAAAGGTTAATCAATTTTTCAGATAGGACATTTGTAAGCATTTCCTAGGAGACACCAAAAGAACTGAAAAAGGACTAACACTAATGATTATTAGCAGTATCTCTTCAGAATATCAAATTAACTTTGACATTTTAAAACAATACGTGTAAATTACAATATCGACTAAATAAAACTGTGTGACTCATATTTTCTAAGCATGTAAATGGTCTTCGCAACTAAAACATACAGGGAGAAAAACAATTGCGTGTGCCTATATAAAAGGGCATACAGATTCAAATATTTAACAAGCAGTGCAGCATGGATGTCAACCAGTCCAAACAAGTCTCCCACAAGTGGACATACCAGCAGCCCTGCACACACCTATGTATGTGCAATACACATGGGCATGTATGATCTTGGGCAATTTCCAAAATAAATTTTTAAATTGCAAATTCACTCTGATATCCATTTTTGTAATCATAATTTAGAAAAGATAGAGTTGCTGACATGTATGAGTATTTTTAAAACTATCACAATACCTGAAAATCACGTTTCCTGCTCGGTCCGCCTTCCAAGCTTTCACCAAAGCAAAATCCCCTGTAATTGCTTCCTCCAAAATAAAGTGCTGACCATTGAACTCCCTCACCTGCAGGAGAGGGAGAAGGCATCGTCAGGTATTTGCACAGGTCTTGATTGTGATAGAGACACTCTGATAGAGGTAGATAACAAGGATACAAGTCTAGTGAGGGAAAACTTCTCAGAGGGAAAAATATCTCAGAGACTTCAAGGATAAGCAGTGTTAGGCAAGCAGGACTTAGTCAAAGTAGTCGAAGGGGAGCTAAGAAAACAGACAAGCAAAGAATCAGCAACAAGAGAAAACTTGTGCATTTGAGGAAATGAAAGTTCTGTAAGCCCGAGGGATAGACTATTTTCATTTTACTATTTTGTGTGTACAGTTTATATAATCAATATGAAAAATAATCCCTCTTTCCTTCTCCCCTGGAAAAAAATAGTTTGCATAAAATGGCCTATGTATTGTTTTTGTACATAAAACAGTTACAAAACTCTATCGTTCAGCTATCTTCATTAACCTATAATCAACTGTTAAGATTTTAAATGGGATTCACAGAATCAGTAAATTTGGAGAAAACCAACACGCTGTATCTTACCACCCATAAGCATAGTATATGTCTCCATTTAACGAGGTTTTCTTTGACTTCCTTCAATAGTTTTATCGTTTTCTCCATACAAGCTTTGTATATTTTTCTTAGGTTTATTTATAGGTACTTAGTGGTTTCTGTTGCTACTTTGAATGTTAAATTTGCTCCTACCTACTCTTCTGACATTACTGGTCTAAGGGAATGCTATTGATTTTTATTTATGTTTATTGCCTTTTAATTATACTACAAATTTTGGGGGGAAGAACATAAAGCAAAACTGTTTTGCCATCACGTTCTTTGATTCTTGAGGGTTTAACTCTGGAAATTAAAACAAACATCCATTGCCACACTCCATCACTGCACAAGATGGAGCCATATGAATGCAGAACTCCATTCTCATCCCTACTGCACCCCCTAGTGGAAAAACAGACAAGTGCGTTTTACAGAAAGTTGCTATAGAAAGTTTCAGTACATTTACTTCAACTATGGTTTGAAACAAATCCTTTCTTAAATAAAAGCTACTTTAAAGATATTATCCAAGTTTCTTGCTAGAAAAAAGACTAATGAACTTAGGGAATAATTGATTAATGAGGATCTTATTATTATGAACTCAGATAAATTATATGAAAGATATTTCTGAGCCACATACCAATACAGTTACTTTTTAATGGCTTCTGTATTTTAAAAATCATTGTAAATACCAACGATGATAGTTGAGTATTTTACATAAAGATCTAGAAAACTGAAGTAAATATATGCAAATGCAAGGCAGAATCAATAAATAGGCTTCTTTTATATTGCAGTTACATGATTTCCTGATGTGTCTACACACCAGCTATTACTGTTAGTTTTACTAAAACTTTAAAAATGTGGAAGGAGTTGGTTTTGTCAAACCAGCTATTACATTCACTTGAAAGAATTGTGCATTTCATAGTCACCGCTTCCTCACTTTTTTGTTCTTTCTTGAATCTAATGAGATTTTCATCCCCTCCATTCCAGAAAAGAATAATCCTTAAGGTTGCCAGTGACCTCTGTTTTTGCAAATCCAACGTCAATTTCCAGGCCCTGTATTACCTATCTCTTCACACTCAGTTGATCATTCCCTTTTCTTTTTAAAATTTCCCTTATCTTTCCAATCGCCATATGTACCTGGGTTTCTCTTTCACTATACTAGTCACTCTTTCCCATTTCTCTTTGCTGCTCCTTCTCTTCCCAATCTCTAAATGTCAAAGAAGTGGTCTGTATCTACACTCAGCCCCCAGACACTCACCTAGTATATAGATTTAAATGTTATATTTAAAGTCCAAAGTCTCCATCCTGACTCTAAACTCTCCCCTGACCTGAAGTCTACTAAGCACCTCCTCTTGGAGTCTAATGGACAGCTCAAATGCACCATGTTCCATACAGAGCTCTTTGATTAGCCTTGTGCTTCATCCATTTTGCTTCACTCATCTTATGCACTATGCTTGATTCCTCTTACACCCCTTACCCATCCACCAGCAAATCCTGTTGGCTCTACCATCAACATTACCCCAATTCTAACCACTTATCTCAAACTCCACTGTTACCACCTTGGTCTAGCCACCTTCCATTCCCGCCTAAATTAACACAATAGCCTCCTAACCCCTCTTTCCCTGCTTCTGCTCTTGGCTTCAAAGAAATAAATAAGTAAATAAAAATAAAAAATAAAAACACCAGCCAACAGATCTTTACAAAAGACAACTCAAATTACATCACTCTCGTCCGTTCTAAACTCCATGGCCTTCCCACTATGTTCAGTAAAATCCAAACTTTGCATGAATTTGGCTGTTGCCTCTCTTCATTCTCCATCCCTATCACTCTCTGCCTTATGTGCTGTTCCAGCCTTACCACCTCCTGCTTCCGAAACATGGCAAGTCTGTAGCTATCTCAGCACCTTGTACTTACTCTTCCTTCTGAATAGAGCACGAACCCTCTCATCTCCACTTGCCTCTTTCTCCTACCTTATTCAGGTCTCTACCAAGTATCATCTCCCTTAAGAAGCTCTCCCTGGCCACCAATCTGGAATATACCAGTTTCCTGGCCAATGATAATTCTCTTTGCCCTTAACCTACTTGATTTGTCTTCATAGTACTTCTACTATAGACATTATGTATTTATTCATTCACTGTCAATCCCTCCACTAGTAGGAGGACTTGATCTATAGATCATTTTACCACAGCGCTTAGACCAGGGACTGGCAAAGAGTAAGACTTCAATAAATATCATTAATTTGGAATTAACTTACTTCTTCCTACTATAAGTAAAAAAATTAAAAAGTGCTAAGAATTAACAAAGTATCTGTCATATTCCTAGGGAATTCAGACAAATTACAAAACAACTAATTTGAGGCACCTGACTCCAGGCATAAGTGAACCCAAGAAATATTCTAGTCTCATATTTTCCCGAGGTAAATTAATTCTACAACTTCTAGCAAGCTATCAAAGTATTTATTGCAAGGTTTTTGAGAACCTTTATGACATACTACTACAATTCATTTTATTAATTTAGCTCCTGTCTTTCACTTTGTCAAAAAGCCTTTTTAACTTAGTTAGGCAGTAAAGGAAAAAGGTAACATAAGAAACACATTAATAAAAGCTTTGAATCCACATAGATCACTCTTAACAGAAAGACAAAGCTCTAGATGGAAGATGTGGTGGGAGACCAACACTGAGTAGCAAAGGACGTGTTCAATGACCTCCCATCTTCCTCAAAACGAGAGGGGCAGAGTCAGCAACCCCATGTGCAGAAAAGTGATCAGAGATCCCTTGATAGTATTACTATGTTCACTTCCCCAGAGATACGTGCTGCATTTCTGCAACCTGTGTTAACTCTCTTGGGCCATCTGGAAAAGAGAATGGAAAGATACTTAAAAATACCGTAATGAAATACTGGCCAGTATAATTTTTGAAATGATCTCAAATCTGAGCATCTCAAATACCTTTATCTGAAGGTCTACTCTTCTATATGTTAAGTGATGTTGCCTATGATAAATGTACCCCATCCTACTCAGCACTTTAAACAGAAGTAGGTTATTTCATGAAAAGCTCAAATGTGTTCAAGATACAAAACAAAAAGTGATTCTATGAATTCTCCATTCTATCATAGCAGTTCCTTTTCAAGGTTTCAGACAAACATATTATTTCCTTGTTTTTTTTTCTTCCTACAGTCACTTCAGGAAGGGCCAGGGCACAAAGAGTTTGCTAGCATGCATATCACAACTACTCTATTTTCCATAGAAGCATAATCAGCAATTGTAAGAGTTTCTCAATTTATAAAAACCTACCACAAATCAGTTCAAATAACTAACCTTATCTAGTACATCACATGTGGATTACAGCTTTTTTTCCTGATTTATTCGAGTTTCTCTATGTGATTTAAATGCTAGTGGATGTCTAGATTTATCTAGAAATTTCGCCTATTAATGAAAAGGAATGAGTGTTTTTTCTTACACAGAGGTGATTTTACACTTATTTGCACAATGAGTTCGCTCAGAATCCCACACGGAAAGAAAGATTCCGGTGTTATCTGGATAGGAGTGTTTCTTACCTCTCTTGGCTTACTGGCAATGGCAACACTGCCATCTTTGTTGTACTTGATGGGCGATCCTCCTTCTTGTACCAAGGTCCCATACCCTGTGGGGGTATAAAATGCAGGAACTCCAGCCCCACCTGCACGGATCCTCTCTGCAAGTGTGCCCTACAAGTGAGCAAACAACACCCTATAAGTTCACTAAGCCCACTTCTATATGTGGACACAGTCTATGTCTAAATGTTTAGATATAGTTCCTACTCTAAGTGTAAAAAGTAGGTAGCATTGTATATTAGCATAAGTATTTCACTAATATTGTATGCTAGAAGATAAATTTTAAGAAGTTACTGCCCCTCTAGATCTATTCTAAATCCACATTCAAAATGTAACTGCTTATTTGTATACTCATGCTTTCAGCTTCCGTATCTCCCAATGATCTCTTGACATATTATAAATGTGTCTATTTTTGATATTATAAGTCAATTTTAAAATCTGAATTATGAAACCTTAGTTATACACATTCAGTAACATAATTAAATTTCGTTTTATTTCATGTTCTGTATAGTTAGGGCCTAAATTTTATTCAAGTTAATAATGTAAAATGTTTAAACTTTAGAGCTTACTTTAATCCATTTTCATAAATATTTTTATCTACAAATTATCTAAGAAAAAAAACAAAGTTCAGTGAAAAATACAGCATACTGGTAAGTTGGTTTTTAAAAACCAAGAGTACATCAAATTGTTTCAGGGCAGAAATAGCTGTAAGCAAAATTTCTTTGTATGTTCTTTTGTTCATTGTCTTTCTCATGGGTGACTCTTCTTCCTAGGTACAGTGATTTCAAGACTAGTTTCCCTAGCTTTCTCACCCTCAACTGATTTTCTACCCAGGTTTCCCCTAAGGAATCAACTCTGGCCCTGAACCTTGACGCCCTTCCTAACACTGAAGCCTACTGTTACAGTCTTCTTACATCACAGTCTTACTAGAAAACGGACTGGCTAGTCAGTAGTTAAAAATTAGGGCTGGACACCGTAGCTCATGCCTGTAAATCCCAGTGCTTTGGGAGGTGAAGGGTCACTTGAGGCCAGGATTTGAGACCAGCCTAGGGAACATAATGAGACCTGTCTCTTTAAGAAAACAAAGAATTGGCTCATGGTATTAATAATGGTGTGTTCAAATTGTCCCAACTTGAAAACTATTTTCTACTTTAACCAGACTCTAAGTTTTCAACTTAAAGAAGAAACTAACAGTTGGGACTTGAGACACTGAGTCATTCAAGTAGGTGGAATATTCTGGGGAAAGTGAGACTTGGGATATAACCGAAAATCTTCCAGATAACTGACTATCTAGCCAATGGAAAGAGATGACTCTACCTTGTATTGTGAAGTTAGTAACATTCACGAAAAATTAAATCATCAAAATTACCATACCACCACCCCCTGCCTTAAAATATTTTTTATATCTACCCTTCCTGAATACTCTCCTTCTGTCATACCAGTTAAGGGCCTGAAAGTAGGCTATTTCTGCAGATAGGCCTTCTGTAGGTACCACCAGCTCCTTATCCTCACCACCAAAGAACTCTGCTCCCCCTGGCCTTCAGACTGCAAAATAAGCTGCCAGAGCCAGTGTTTACTAATGGGCCACTAAGTTGAAGAGGGAGACACTGACCTCCCTTAGCCTAAGAAGAAAACTGTAAAAAAAAAAAAAAAAAATTAACGACATACATACCTTCTGACAAAATAAGAAGTAATGTAAAAGATACCAAGGATAATCAAAAGGTTAATTTTCAATAGCTCCAAAACCCAAAGAATACTGTAACTCAACCTACAATGTGAAAAACTGCTATGAACTGAACTGTGTTCTCCCCAAATTCCTATGTTGAACTCCTAGTCACCAATGTGACTGTATTGAATTAGGGCCTATAAGGAGGTCATCAAGGTTGAAGGAAGTTGAGAAGGTAGGGCCCTGATCTGGTATGACTGACTAGTCCTTCTACGAGAAGAAACGCCCAAAGAATGAGCATGCATGCTCTCTGCCATGAAGAACAGTGAGAAGTCGGCCATCTGCAAGCCAAGGAGAGAGACGTCACCAGGACCTGAATTGGCGGCCAGCACCTTGATCTTGGACTTCCAAGCCTTCAGAACTGTGAGAAACTTTTCTTTAAGCCACCAATCTGCAATATATTGTTATAGCAGCCTGAGTAGACTAAGACATCTTTGGTTTTTTGTTTTTGTTTTTTCAAAAAACTGAGAAAACTGAATAAATACCAAACCCAGTGCAATGCTATGGTATATATAGGTAACAGTGCTATAGAGTGACAAGGTGTGACTGCAAAACGTGAGCCTCAGAACAGTTCCCTATGCGTGCTTTCCAGACAGACATACCATGATTTAATTACTAATTTTGCAAATCTATTATATTATGTTATTACTTGGCAAATTCAGTGGCAATATTTTCTGTTGACTAAAATAAAGTGGAATGGCTTGGTTCAAGAGCTGAGAGCAGAGCATGTCAAAAATGAAAGAAGAGAAAACTGTAGATCTTTGTTATACTTAAAGGCTTCAAAAAGTTTTCCTTTCTTTATGAATAACTCCAATTAGTTAAGAGATGATAAAGAAAATGAGTGAAAAATTGCTAGATTAATTTAGTAACTGCTTGCTTTGTAGTAACATCTGTTCCCTGGAAATCTAGGTTCTGATCCCAGCACTTACTCATTTGTAGTAGATGCACCTTCCATTGGCTTCACTCTGATGTGTCTAAGCAAGACCAGATCACTCATGAATTCTAATTCTAAAATTCATAGAAATTGACAGGGCACAGTGACTCATACCTGTGATGTCAAGGCAGGCAGATCATTTGAAGTCAGGAGTTCAAGACTAGGCTGGCCAACATGGTGAAACCCTGTCTCTACTAAAACTACAGAAAACAAAAGTAGCTGGGAATGGTGGCATATAGCTATAATCTCAGCTTCTTGGGAGGCCAAGGCAGGAGAATTGCTTGGACCCAGGAGGTGGAGGTTGCAGTGAGCCAAGATCACACCACTGCACTCCACACTGGGTGACAGAATGAGAAATCCTTTTGCATGCTTCTGGCATGATACACGTTACAGTGCCAAACTTAAAAATCTTATCTTGCAGCCTGGATATCTTTATTAGAAATAGCTCCTTTTTCAGTAGACAGTGGAAGAAAATATTAATTATCTAGCAATCAACAGGTGTAACTTAGAAACAAAATTCCTTGCTTTGGCAAAGTAGTATTCCCTCTGCCTTAGCTCTCGTGCACAAAGAAATTTGTAGGGAGAAAAAAGGAATTTTAAAAATAAGTTAGGATTATAAAAGAAAAGCAAACCTTCTCACCTGTGGTGTCAGCTCCACTTCTAATTCACCAGATAAGTATTGTCGTTCAAATTCTGCATTTTCTCCCACATATGAAGAAACCATGCGTTTTATCTGCTTGGACCGAAGCAAAAGGCCCAAACCAAAGTTATCAACCCTAGAAAGAAAATGAGGGGAGTTTGTACCAAAGAGCATCTGCTTTTTAAAAGAGATAAAACTTTGTTCATTAAAAAAAATATATCCTGTCTGATAAGCATTTAATCCACATTCTCAGTCTCCCATAACAACAAAAATTTTGCAAGGTGGCTATCCGTTTATTTTATAGTTGAAGAAACTAAAACTCAAGAAGTTTAAGTGATTTGGGGTGGGGAGTTGGGGAGCACACAGACCAAGATCTTGGGCAGTAAGGAACAGACAGCCAATATTCACACCCATGTCAACCCTACAGTTTTACCCCACACCTTTTGTTATTTTCACTGCTGCAGAGTGATTCTGAGTTAGAAGATAAGCAAAGAGATGAATTGGTTCTTGTCCTATGCTTTGAAGGAATACATAAATGCAGTGGCAATATACTGACCCAAAGGGAAGATTTGGATGGAGAAACTCTTTGTCTTCTAAAAAGGAGAGAGGGGCATTCTGATATTTAAAAGAGAGATTAAAATACTCATTGAAATGTGAACCCAAATTATAAACAGCTATGAACATTTTCCCTATATCATAAATGTTGTAAATCTTCAAGAAGATTTACACATTTAAAAAATATAAAAAAAAAAAAAAAAAACAGAAAATTAATCACAAGCCAGAGTATATGTGCCAACAATAATACTGTGTCTGTTAAATTATATATACTATACTATCATTTAATATCTTTAATATTTTAAAGATGGAGCTCAATTTATTCTTAGAAACGGTATACACAGTCTTGACTATTTTTTCATTGGGTGAAGATCTCCAGCTTTATGCCTTTCTTAATTTCTGTTATTTTTCAAAGCAAAATATGCCTAGAATTTCAAGCCAAGTCAATGTAACCAGACAGATAACTGAATGAATTATTTTCCCATTCAGTCACCTTAAAAACTGAAGATCATCTTCCATTCAAGAGTCAGAAATATTTTAACCAACTAGAGAAATAAAACATTTACAAGAATACTTGACCTTAAGCTTTTTTAAATGGCAAAATATTTTTCAATGGCACAATATTTTAATGATGAAATACTTTTTAATGGTGAAATATTTTAATGGTGAAGTATCTTTTAATGTTGAAATATTTTTGAATGGTGAAGTTTTTTTAATGGTGAAATATTTTTAATAGCAAAACACATGGCAAAAAGCATGATGAGCCATCACCACAAACATGAAGGGATGACTTAAAAAAAAAGAAAATACCAAGCCTCAACGAAGATATGAAACGATCAGAACTCTCACATGTGCCAAGGGGAATGTAAACTGAAACATCCACTTTGGAAAACCTGTTAGTATCTACTAATGCTGAATATATCTGTATGCTATGGGTCAGCAATTACATTCTGGGTCTATAACCAACAGGAAATGCATACTTAGTTCACTACAAGACATGAACAAGAAAATCCATAGCAGCACTGTTCATTAGGCCAAAATTGGATCCTCCCAAATGTCAGCAGAATAGATAATTTTAGCACACTAGACAATGAAATGGGGTATAGCAGTGAGAATATAACCATTAGCAAAAATGGTTGAATCTCACAGAACAATGTTGAGCTAAAGCCAGACACAAGAGTACATACTGAAATATTCCTTTAATATTATGTTCAAAATCAGACAAAACAAATCTATAAGGATCAAAAGTGAGGCCAATGATTAATACTGGTAGTGGGAGAAGAGCATAGTGACTGCAAGAAGGAGGAAGAGCTTCCTGGGGTACTGGTCATGTTTCATTTATCTATCTGGGCATTGATTAGATAGGTGTGCAGCTTGTAAAACTCCATCAAACTGTATTTATTAGATGCTCACTTTTCTATATTACTCCATACTAGTCTTCAATAAAGCCTTTTGAGATAGAAATGTAGTGACAAGGACCAGAGTGCTAGAAATGGAAGTCTTTATTTACAATCTCTTCCTCCTAATTCTTTTAGTGCTCTGATGGTTCCTTCCCTACAGAGCTTGTGTCATCTACACAGTACATTCATCTAAGACTCCCTTACTGAATGCTTATTCTACCCGTGTCAGGCTCTGAGGCTACAACCATAAATAAGCCCTGGTCCTCAGCAGCTTTGAAGCTGAGAAAATAAACACGTAACCTATAATTACAACAGAAGGAGAGACATGCTAAGGGAATTATGCACTAAGTATGATAACACTGAAGATGGAGAACCCAACTGTTGAGAAAGAGAGCAGAAAAAGTCTTACAGGAGGTGGCACTTGAACAGACATAAGAAAAAAGAGAACAGTTTGAGAGCAGACTGTGAGGTAGAGGTGTGGAGAGAAACAGGCAGATGGACAGCTTTGCAAAGATACACTCAGGAAACTACATGTTGAGTGCACCTGGAATATGGACTGAGAGCAACAGCATGCAGGAGGGGCAGGAGGCAGGGCCGGTTGTGATCAGCCCTATGGGATTTCACCTTGAAGAATAGGAAGGCCCTGTAAAAAGTTTTAAGTGGAAAAGTAACAATATGATTAGTTGGAAAGGTTGAAAGATGAAAGGCAGGGAGATCAGTGAAGAGGCTCAAAATAGCCCAAACAAGCAATGATGAGAGTCTGAACTAAAGCAGTGGGAATGGGAATGGAGAAGGGAGAAACCAAGAGGGTCTTAGGAGGGAATAATTCATAAGACTTATTGTCCATCCTGATGTAGCTGCAGACCCACTCCAGAATTTTGGCTTTGGTGATGGAATATAAAAAAAAGTTGGTTGGGGAAAATTAAGGAGCACTAGTGACACCCACTTATTTGATCTGGAGAGGTGTTAAATATCTGACAAATCACTGACAGGTCTCCCTATACCACCTTTTCTCCCAACTTCATTCCACTCTTCACCCTCACTCCTCACACCCACAAGCGACCAATCCAGCTCAGCTGATTCCTTCCCAATTCTCAGAATTTTATTTCCAAGCCTCTTTCCTCCCCCAGGCACTCCTGACACAACAAACACCTCAGAGTGTCCAGGTAACAGGCAACTGTGAACCTCCTACTCAACTTGTTTTGCAGCCCTAGACTCCAAATGCTGAATCTGATAAGATTTCCCATCTACCATGGATATAAAAGAAATAGCTGCATGACTTATTCTCACTTGATTCAAAAGAAAACTAATGTCTAAGTAACCTAAGTATTTTCAAGAGTGTACTTTTGAGCTAGAATTCCCTGCAAGTTATAAATATGTGTGTCCACTAGAGGTCACAAGATGCCTAAGGATTCTGTTGTTCTAGGGCTGTCTCCCCATTACTCTCAACACATACAATGCCTTCTGAGTTTTTAATTTACTCCTAATAACTGGCTAGGTCCCCACAATTCTATTCCCGCAAATTCAACTCCACTGCAGAGCCATGTAGATGTCTGGAAGAAGAGTTTGAGAAGAAGGAAGGCCAGCGCAAAGGCAGGAGGTGGCATGTGTGGGTATGTTGGAGGGATGCTGAGGCCAGGAAAGGAAGAGAAGTAAGCAAAAAAAAGACCGGGTAGAGTGCCGTTGGGGACATCAAAGAGCATCTGATCACATGGTACCTTGCAGGCTACTCTGGAGACCTTTGATTTTACTCTGAAAAATCCCTTTGATTGGGTTCAGCCACTCTGACTAGGTTCCCCCAATGGGAGGCACCATCAGGAGGATGGGGTGAGGGGAAAAGATTGGTATTTATATTCCTCTGGCTCCCTCCCTGAGTAGTTACAGCCCACTGGATAACTCCCTCCATAAAGCTTTCTTCCAGGTCCTGGTAACAGCTCCCTCCCCTCACTCCTTCAGACCTGGGGCTGGTTACTGTCTCCATTACAAACTCCAGGGTTCTTTATTACTCCTGTTTTCCCTCAGCCGTGACTATTCCATTGAGAAGGCTCCCTTTGGTAAACTCCTCAACTACTCAGGAAATTCAATTACGTTTGATATCCTCTAGAGCCCAGACTAATAGAGTCGTAATGAAATAACACATGAAGGTGGATATGGTCCATTTTGCTTTCTGTAGTTTTAAATATCTGAAACTCCTGCAGGCCCTACTAAAGCCAGAATATAGGTGGTCACTTATTGATGTGTGAATTTTTCTAACTACTCTCTTCTAGATCTCTTTGGCTTTTCAATCCATTACATATTTTAACTTGGTTCTATTTGGAGATTACTTCTTTTTATTCATTATTTTAGCTCTGGGAATCATTGTTTATTATGGGTTTTGCTTTGTTTCTGGACTAGCAACCTAGCATAGCAATCAAGCAGTATAGAGGATGCTACTCCCAGGCCACCATCGTACCAGTTCTTTTGAGTCTTGCAAATGCTGTCAGATAGCTTACAATAAGTGTGTTTCTTGCCACATATACAGCTCAAATTTGGCAAGTGTATATCTCACCCATTATCAGACACTGATGATAAAAAATGAGTAAGACATGTCCCTTACCTAAAAAGGCTTACAAGATAAAGAAAAAAGATAGATGCGATTTTTTGCAAATGAGGAACATATCATTTCTAATAGAGACATTATATTAAAGCATCTCACAGCTCTTTAATGCTAAAGACAATGCTGATAAGACTTTCAAACACATTAGATTGCTTTCCTTTAGTAGCCAACATTTTTTTTTTTTTTTTGAGACGTAGTTTCACTCATGTTACCCAGGCTGGAGTGCAATGGCGCGATCTCAGCTCACCGCAACCTCCGCCTCCTGGGTTCAGGCAATTCTCCTGCCTCAGCCTCCTAAGTAGCTGGGATTACAGGCACGCACCGCCATGCCCAGCTAATTTTTTGTATTTTTAGTAGAGACGGGGTTTCACCATGTTGACCAGGATGGTCTCGATCTCTTGACCTTGTGATCCACCCGCCTCGGCCTCCCAAAGTGCTGGGATTACAGGCTTGAGCCACCGCGCCTGGCAGTAGCCAACATTTTTTAGCATACTAAAGAGAGATTGATCTTTTTCCTGCATCACAACAAACCCGGGTTTCAAACATTTTGGTGATTAGAAAAAGTCTGAGGCCAGGCCGGGTGCGGTGGCTCAAGCCTGTAATCCCAGCACTTTGGGAGGCTGAGGCGGGTGGATCACGAGGTCAAGAGATCGAGACCATCCTGGTCAACATGGTGAAACCCCGTCTCTACTAAAAATACAAAAAATTAGCTGGGCATGGTGGTGCGTGCCTGTAATCCCAGCTACTCAGGAGGCTGAGGCAGGAGAATTGTCTGAACCCAGGAGGCGGAGGTTGCGGTGAGCCGAGATCACGCCATTGCACTCCAGCCTGGGTAACATGAGTGAAACTCCGTCTCGGGGAAAAAAAAAAAAAAGTCTGAGGCCAAGAATTCATTAATGAGACACATTATTGTAAAGCAAAAAGATACTGTATAGGAGACAATGATCTGCAAATATTTTCATGTTCTGAATCTGAAATTTAATTTGCTGATTTTCTGAAATCTCATTAATTGGCAATTCTTATCAGGATAAGATAAATAAAAATAAAGTTGTAATCACTTATCAAGTTGTATTTCTTTGTTTGCTTTTCATTTTATATATACTTAAATCTGGATTAGATAATCACATTTAATATATCAAGAGTATCAAAAGAAAACGCTGCCTTTAAATATAAGGCTAATTTATGACATATAGTAACTCCCCCGCCACAATCTGCAGTTTTACCTTCTGTAGTTTCAATTACCCAGTCAACTGCAGTCCACAAATATTAAATAGAAAATTCCGGAAATATAAAATTCATGAGTTTTAAGTTATGCACCATTCTGAGTAACGTGATAAACTCCCACCATCCCACTCCATCCTGCCCAGGATGTGAATCTTCCCTTTGACTAGCATGTCTACACTGCATATACTATTCTCCTGTTAATCACTCAGTAGCTGTGATGGTGATCACATAGACTGTTGCAGTATTTGCTGTTCTTGTGTTGAAGTAGCCCTCATTTACTTAATAATGGCCCCACAGCACAAGAGTAGTGGCGTTGGCAACTTGGATATGCCAAAAAAGAAGCTGTAAAATGCTTCCTTTAAGTGAAAGGGTAAAGGTTAAACTTCAAGAAAAATTGTATGCTGTGGTTGCTAAGATCTAAGTAAGAATAAATCTTTTATCCATGAAATTTCAAAGAAAGAGAAAAATATGTGCTAGTTTTGCTGTCATACCTCAAACTGCAAAAGTTATAGCCACAGAGCATAATAGAAACTTAGTTAAGATGGAAAGTACATTAAATTTGTGAGTGGAAGAGAAACAGAAATGTGTTCCAATTGACAGCAATTGGGTGGAGTATTAGCCATGATTTCAGAACATACCCCCTTCAAATAAGGGAGGACTACTATAATTAAATGTGACAAATGAAATATTTCATGAGCTGAGCACAGAAATTCAAGTATACATCCCAGGAACTGGTTAGCCCTTCCCAGACAAAATAACTAAATCCCGGGGAATGCTCATAATCAGCTCGTGGCCTATATCTGACTGTTAACTCCTTCAGAGCTGCAGCTTCCTCAGCAAGGAACAAGGGCACAGCAAAGAGGTCACTGCCTTTATCTCGAGATTCAAAGTCATTGGTGCATGTTATAGTGAACCCCAAGTTTCTCTTCAAAGAATCAGCATGTCAGTATGTTCAGCTCTCTTATTCTTTAAATCTTTATTTTAAAGCTTAAATTCCTTTAAAATAGAGATTTAAGGAATAAGAGAGCTGAACATACTGACATACTGATTAATTCCAGTAAACAACCT